ATGCAGGAAAAACTCAGTTTCTCAAAATGATAATTAACTAAAAGTGGATGAACACCTAGATCTTTCCATCAGAGTTTACCGCCAGTACACACGATTAAAAAAAAAAAAAAAAGAACCTAAAAATCAAGATCAATTCTGAAATTATCCGACTTGATGAGGATTCAAACTAAAGTCCTTTGAGCTGGCAGATGAGTGTCTAACCACTAGGCTTCTAGGCTCCCAGGAATCAGAATATTTCATCTACATTAAACACTGATGAGCTTAGAACAAACAACAATGGAAGATGAGGAAGAAAAGGCAAGGGTAGAACAGGATACAAGCAGACAGGATACTGAAGAACCTTTGAGCCTGAAAATAAATGAGAAATGGGCTGAGTGGCTTGTCCAAGATTAGGACCTCATATAAGATGAAAATAGTGGGGCCTCGCAACCCACACAGTGAGGTAGTGGTGTTAAGAAGTTGCAACACACCACCAAGGCAATCCCATAAATGCTCCGCCCCCATCTTCAGCAGCCAGTATATAGTTTCAGTACTAATGGTGCCAGCTGTAGTCTGATTATATATTCATCTTGTCTATGCTCTGAGAACTGCATTTTTGGAAGATTCTCTAGTTACTTCCATTTGCATCATTTCCCAAACTTGTTAAGTTTAAAATTAGGGGTCATCTTATGCACAGAATGTGATTAAAATATGTACTTCTTAATTCTAGGCTAAAAACCGTAGGGGTCATTTTATACATGGTGGCATCTTATACACTGAAAAATATGATAGTTTATGAGTATCCCACAAGGAGCTGTGATAGTGCTGAAGCTAGATGCTTACCTGATGACGCTAAGATTTTGGGTTCTAATTTAAATCAAAGTAGTTTTTTTTTTTTTTTTTTTTTTTAAATAACAGACTTCAAGTCAACTCATTCTAAAATAGAGAAGAACAAAGTTGTAAAAAGTAAAGCTGTCCAGCATAATGCTGACCACATCAGCTATCCTGTGCTGACTGCTCTATAAAACTAGCCCAGTATGCCCAATGTGTTGCCAAACACTGCCATTACTGCCTTTATTTACCACTTCTGTGGTGTAGGCAGGGTCTCTGAGCCTGAGGATTTAGGACTGCATGACCAGGGCTGTCGTCACTGACTAAGCAGATGAGGATTTTATTTTTGCCACCGACAGAAAACAATCCACAAATTTACAGAGGATTCAAACCTGGGTCTCCTGCATGACAGCCCAGCTCTCTTACCGTTTGGCCAGCCACTTCTCAATGCACTATAGCCATACAAACTATTTCTCACTTTTGACAAATCTGGAATGTAGAAGTGATATGTCTAGGGATTTCATTCTTGTGTTTAGACTGAATAACATGAAATAACATCAAATAAAAATAACAATGATGTTTCTAAAGTACATATAATCTCCTATGAATTATGTCTTCTTCCCAGAGCAGCTGCATAAATGTCAACTACCACTATAAAACTTGTGGTCTTATCTCCTGTCAAGTATTAGCAGTTTTCATTAAACCCATTCCAATGGTTTTTTTACAAAAGCATGAAAGAAACAAAAACTGCAAGCTTCAGCAAGCTGCATGTTTTTTTATCTGTTGAGCACTGCTGGCCAGCCTTGTTGTTGCTGCTTCTGATGTACAATACCACAAGTGTATCGTAAAACTTGACATTCGTTCGACACCAGTGATGATCAAAAAGCTGTATCAATTGTGGTGATAGGTTTTTTTCTGTTGTAACAACATGCACTTGACCCAGCCTTTAGAAAATCTGTCATGAAGTCATGTTCTTTACAAAACATCTTTCCCAGTTTGTCACTGTTGTCTTCTACACATATCTGTTACCAAATCTGGCTGTGTTCTTGAATGAATGATCAGTGGTCAACATCCTTCACATGAAAAAAACTGAATCGCCAGCTCTTTGAGCTTCTTTGGGCTGATTTTGGATCAAGGTGGCCATTTTCTCAATGATCAGAACCTATGCATCATGGGATGATAAGCATGTGCACTTTTATTCACTGGTCAGTACTTGTCCCATGACTATGACATGATCATGTTCAGCGCATGCAATTACAGGTGGCACTGCAAGAATGAGTTTCAAATAAATGCTCCTAATATCTCACTATCTTTGATCTGGAAAAGTTATACCGTACATTTATTCTGAACTAATAAACAAGTACCAAACTGTGTAACAATACCTTTTTTTTTAAACCAACTCTACACTAACTAACCAATCTGAGAAATTAAATGTTTGCAAAAGGTGTTTGTGAAAGGCTGCAAACAAAACCAGAAGAGATCATGGTAGAAATAAAGGGATGAGAAAAACTACTGGAAGAATACTGTCGCGTGCGAATGTGCACCAGAACGCACCAGTACGGAGTGAGCAAATAAGACGTCAAAACAATACGTAACGTTGTTATGATTTATTGTTGTCAAAGCAGTTGATGTTTATAGTCCGAAGGAGACGGACGTGGGAATCCTTGAGGACGCTTTACCCCGGGATCCCACGGAAGCAAACGTTATTAAAGTTGGATCCTTGAGGACGTTTTACCCCGGGACTCCAAGACCTCAGCAGGAAGCTGGTGAGCACTACATTCTCGGCAGCAAGCCGGTATACTTTCATTGCTTAATTCGGACTTGTCCGAGGAGTGAGTGTGTGTGTATTCAAGTGTTCTTATTTGCTCTCACGTACTGGTGCTGTTTGCCGCGACATGACTCCAGTTTTCCGACCGAGACTACGTCAAGTCCTAGTGCTCGGTCGTCCTCGGGAGGGGGGAAAAGCTGTCGCGTGCGAATGTGCACCAGAACGCACCAGTACGGAGTGAGCAAATAAGACGTCAAAACAATACGTAACGTTGTTATGATTTATTGTTGTCAAAGCAGTTGATGTTTATAGTCCGAAGGAGACGGACGTGGGAATCCTTGAGGACGCTTAACCCCGGGATCCCACGGAAGCAAACGTTATTAAAGTTGGATCCTTGAGGACGTTTTACCCCGGGACTCCAAGACCTCAGCAGGAAGCTGGTGAGCACTACATTCTCGGCAGCAAGCCGGTATACTTTCATTGCTTAATTCGGACTTGTCCGAGGAGTGAGTGTGTGTGTATTCAAGTGTTCTTATTTGCTCTCACGTACTGGTGCTGTTTGCCGCGACATGACTCCAGTTTTCCGACCGAGACTACGTCAAGTCCTAGTGCTCGGTCGTCCTCGGGAGGGGGGAAAAGCTGTCGCGTGCGAATGTGCACCAGAACGCACCAGTACGGAGTGAGCAAATAAGACGTCAAAACAATACGTAACGTTGTTATGATTTATTGTTGTCAAAGCAGTTGATGTTTATAGTCCGAAGGAGACGGACGTGGGAATCCTTGAGGACGCTTTACCCCGGGATCCCACGGAAGCAAACGTTATTAAAGTTGGATCCTTGAGGACGTTTTACCCCGGGACTCCAAGACCTCAGCAGGAAGCTGGTGAGCACTACATTCTCGGCAGCAAGCCGGTATACTTTCATTGCTTAATTCGGACTTGTCCGAGGACCAAGATGATTGTCATGATCTCAAGGTCGGACTGCGACCTATCGTAAGGACATATCCATCCATGGATGTACGAGTGAGCTTTGGTTGAACGAGTTGATTATTGATTGCATACGTATTCTTGTGTTGATCATTGCTGATTGTATATATCAATACAACCGTTGGAACTTAACGCATAGCGTTCGAACTCTACCTTTTGAAAGCATTGAAGTAACTACTGTTTTACCCCTACTTGGCCTATTTCATCTTGGTACCACACACATCAGCTTGAAGCTCTGCACGTCCCAATGAAGGACCGCACGTATCAAATACCCATCGTTAAATTACTTGAGAAACTAAGACTTAAATTATTCAGCCGGCTAGTGGGAATGAACCTAACAATGCCAGCAGCGAGAGCGTATACACCATGATAATGGAAACACTAAGCGTCAACAGGAGACCTAGCAGATTATGGACTGAAGAAGTCACCGATAGCTAGAGACCTCACAACATCATAGCTTGAGACCTCACAACATCATAGCTTGAGACCTCACAACATCATAGCTAGAGATCTCACAACATTGCAGCTAGAGACCTCACAACATCTTAGCTAGAGATCTCACAACATTGCAGCTTGAAACCTGACAACATCATAGCTAGAGACCTCAAAACATCATAGATTGAAACCTCACAACATAATAGCTAGAAAACTCACAACAACATAGCTTGAGACCTCACAGTAGTATGTATAGCTTGAAACTTAAAAACATTATAGCTAGAGACCTTACAACATAATAGCTTGAGACCTCACATAGCTTGAAACCTCACAACATCATAGCTTGAAACCTCACAACATAATAGCTTGAGACCTCACAATATCATAGCTTAAGACCTCACAACATCATAGCTTAAGACCTCACAACATCATTGCTCAAGACCTCACATCATAGCTCAAGACCTCACAACATCATAGCTCAAGACCTCACATCATAGCTCAAGACCTCACATCATAGCTCAAGACCTCACAACATCATTGCTCAAGACCTCACAATATCATAGCTTAAGACCTCACAACATCATAGCTTAAGACCTCACAACATCATTGCTCAAGACCTCACAATATCATAGCTTAAGACATCACAACATCATAGCTTAAGACCTCACAACATTATTGCTCAAGACCTCACATCATAGCTCAAGACCTCACATCATAGCTCAAGACCTCACAACATCATTGTTCAAGACCCCACAATATCATAGCTTAAGACCTCACAACATCACAGCTTAAGACATCACAACATCACAGCTTAAGACCTCACATCATAGCATGCCAAGCAACTAAATGCAGCCTGGCTCAGCTACCTGCGATATGTTTAACTGTAATGCTAGCAGTACTGGCAAAAGAAACTAAATGTAAGGTACCATTTCACTCCAAGACAGAAGATGGCAAAGAAAGAACGATCAAATGTTAATCTGGATTACTGTTACGTCAGCGCAATTATTTGGGATCTGTTATGAGATCCACACTACAAGCTTCAGCAATCTGCATGTTTTTAATTTGTCTAGCATTGCGTGCCAGTCTTGCTGTTGCTGCTCCTGACGTACAATACCGCAAGGGTATCGTAAAACTTGGCACTCGTCCGACACCAGTGATGGTCAAAGAGCTGTCCCAGAGTCGAGCTGTGGCATATGCATTGCTACCAGGCCTGGTCTCAATGACACCTTGAAAAGTTATGTGTTGTACTCCGTGGTCATCTACGTGGTCCCATCCTGCATGCTCATGACCTGCAAATACCCCGATGACACACTCGTACTGGTGGATGACGTCCATGATCTCTTGATAATTCCAGGTCAAACACACAGCATACTCTTTGTACAGGCATTGTAACGCAACATGTGCTGGAAAAAATGAAACATTTTCTCAGATACTGTAATGATTTTGTGCAACAAACATAAAAAGCAAATCTACAAAAAAAATTAATTTAATTAAAGGAAGGCTCATTGTCCACTTTTATATCAACTATCTATATTTTCAGACTACATATGGTGGAAAACACAACAGCTAACTATTGATAGAAACAACAACTTTTATCGCAACTAATATCCACCATACTGAGCAGAATCCAACCATTTTTTTCATGATTCTTCACATATAGCTAAACCTTAGCAGATAGATTCCTTTTGGTATTTCTCATTTACAATTAACTTATTTTTCTGTTTAATTTCTTCATGATTGCAATAAAATAAATTTGTTTCTTCTTCTTCTTCTTCTTTGCGTTCGGTTTTGTATGCTTAGATCAGACCATCAGGTGGGTTGCCTCTTTGAACTCGCATGTCAGTAGCAGGTCCTTCAAGGTTCCCCATGGCTTGCTCTTCACACTTTGCTCTTTAGGCAGGTGAATTTTCGAAGTTGTAAGTAGAGTAGGCAGGTCTGAAGAATGTGCTCAGGTGTTTGTGGTCCTGTTTGTCAGGCACACTGTGGGGACTGTACAATCTTGATTTTATGCATGTGGTAGTGGAGCCTGCAGCGTCCTGTTCATAGACAGGAAAACTGTTGTATGTTGCTTTATGCTGAGTTTGCTGATGGGCTCTTGATCGCAATAAAATTTAAAAAATGTGCTTATTTTTTATAATAAATAAAGAAACCAAACAAAAGAATTTTGCTGGGATGTCATAATGTAAAAAAAAAAAACTGTCTTTTCTGCTTGTATTTACCACTTGTTATGGCAGTGTAGGACACAGGGTTTTGAACCTGAGGATCAAACCATGAAGGACCTGTAGCTGACATGAGAGTTTATAGAGGTTTTGTATGTAAAGACTAAGAACAACAACCTGAGAATTTAGGGCAACATGGCTAGCTTTAGCTGCTATGAACTGTAGTGTCTAGAAATCTTATTTTGTTTAATAATAAAGAGGAATGCAGAGTTGGTGAAAAGTGGTAAAATATATAGGTGACTGCCTTCAAGCTGAATCCAAGCAATTAATCTAGTGAAATGCAACTTAAAAGCTCAACGAGATGGGGAAGCACAAAACAACATAAATCGACGTTTCAGCAGGGGCCTTTCTCAATATGAACTGAACTACACAACAATAACAAAGGGGAGAGTATTCCAATCACCAAGGGATCACGTGAGAAACTTTTTTTTTTTGTAAAAGTGATATGGAATGAATAAAATAAAATAAAATAAAATAAAGGAAGGCTCGTAAAGTAAAATGACAATATATAATAAGAGTAGGAATAAAAGAGTAGTAGAAAAACAAATGATAATGATCCATAACTGGTAATGACAAGAGATAGAATAACATAAATTAAAATAAAATGAAATAAGCATAAAAATAATACAATAAAAATAAAAAAAAAAGGGACAACAGTAAAACTGTTTAGATGCAGGCATGCTGGACATTGATGCATCCTGGACCTATAACACCTAGACTGTGGATGAAGAGATTTTCCAAAAGCGTGGCACATGGTATGATAGTGGAGCTCCACGACCCAGGCTCACACTAGTCAAGGCCTAACTACACGTCTCTGTGGTCATCCTAGAAACAGGTTCTCAACCAGCCAGCGTAGACAGGCTTGCCGCTTCCTTGGGAGTTGAAGTGCATTTGTCTGAGAGGTGAGGAACCAACAATCTGCACTCAGATTAGCTAGATCTGTAAACTGGATATGCACACAAAATTCAGGTCCTGGAACAAGAATAAAATCCAGAAGTGGACAAATAACCAAGACTATCCACCTGAGTTTACAGGTGGTGAATGAGAAGAATAAGGAGAAAATAAAAGAAGAAACAAAAAGATTCAATTCTTACTGATAATAATCACGTTTTCCTCTTTAGCCTGGGCCTTCATCAAAATGTCTGACAACCAGTTCAACTGCTTCTCGCTGATGCCACCGTTGTAAGCCGCCCAGCGCCGGTCTAAACCATTCAGCCCAGTTACATCATTCACATCTTGGTTCTTGTTGTTGTCATGAAACCAAGTCTGCGCAGTCTTAAAATTCTCATCATCAGGTGTATCTTTATATCCCAGCAGACTCACCTCGTATGTGTCTATGGCAACGACCCGCAGCTTTGGGTGTGGAAGAAATGTGTAATAAAACTGATCCGAGCTCACGTTATTCAACAACAGCGAGCTATTGAGCGGGGAGGATAAGTAGAAAGATCGGTCCAAGTTATACAAATCATGGTTGCCTAAGACATGACACAGTGGAATATGTAGTGACTCTAGAGGTTGTAAGGCTGTCAGCAGAGCCTTCTTACTGCCAGCTTCACCATCAATTCTGTTTTTTCCATCAATAAGATCACCCAGCTGAAGCACAAAGGCTACTGGATCTGCAGATCTTTTCCAGTCATTAATGGCATTTTGCAGAAGGTTCAAAGAATTTCGGTAAAATCTCTGCCGAGTGAAGGAGTAATCGGTTCCATCGTCACAGTCTGCATACTGTACATCAGCAATAATCCCAAAAGTGACATGTGGTGTCTGATGATGAGCATCTGCTGACGTCATTGTTCTAAAATACACGAATACTGCACCCTGAAAGATGGAAAAAAAGCATATAATTATTGAATTCTAAAAACAAAGATATCACATAAATAGTGAATTAAAACACAAAGAAAATGCATAAATGCTGTAACTTAAAATATGAATACACACACAAGTTAACCATCAACAACAACAATAAACATAAAAAACATGAAAAGTTAAAACACAAGTAACACACACGACAAAATAGAAAAACAAAAGAAGAACAAGCAGTGCACCCTTTAAAAAATACAAGCAATGTACCATGAGAAATCCTTCCTCTTCTTCTTTGTTCACCGGCTGTAAGCTCCATGGAAGGTCCTAGTTGTTCGTCCATTTGGACTTTGGCTTTGTGCAGGGAACTGAGTTTTGCATTCACATTCGTTTTACTGGCTTATTTGTGTGCAGTTGGCTGTTTCTTGCCACTTGGGCAGATGCACTCCAACTTCGAAGAAAGCTCCCAATTAGTTGACCCCTACGACATGCTTGTTTGGTAGGCAGTGGATCTATTCTTGTTTTCCCCATAATAGGATTCCCAGAACCCACACTGGGACCATGAGGAAAAAAAGAAAACGTAATATGCTGTTTAAAAAACCCAAAGAAACAGATGTGGTGCACTGTAAAAACCAAAAAATACATATATGCAGCGCACTGTAAAAACAAAGAAAATACACATTAAAGTGACTATTTAAAAAAAAGAAAATACACATTATAGTGACTGTAAAAACAAAGAAAATACACATTATAGTGACTATAAAAACAAAGAAAATACACATTATAGTGACTATAAAAACAAAGAAAATACATATTATAGTGACTATAAAAACAAAGAAAATACACATTATAGTGACTATAAAAACAAAGAAAATACACATTATAGTGACTATAAAAACAAAGAAAATACACATTATAGTGACTATAAAAACAAAAAAAATACACATTATAGTGACTACAAAAACAAAACAAAATACACATTATAGTGACTATAAAAACAAAGAAAATATTTATGTGGTGCACTGTCTTCTTCTTCTTCTTCTGCCTTTCTAAGAAAATATGCTTATGGTGTGCTGTAAAACAAAGCAAACATACACATGTGATACACTTAAAACAATTAAAACATACATCTTCTCCTTCTTCTTTGAATTCACCGGCTGTAAACTCTGAGGAAAGTTCTGGTTGTTCATCCACTTCTGGATTTTGGTCTTGTTCCAGAACCTGAGTTTTGCATGTAAATCCATTTTACAGATCTGTATTTGTATACAGACTGTTGGTTCCTCACCTCTCAGGCAAATGCACTCTGACTGAAGGAAACACCCCTAATTAGTCACACCTCCCACAACACGCTTGTCAAGAAGGCTTTTCTCCCCCTTCCACTAAATGGGACCCTGGAACCCATACGGATTACCAAGAGAAGATGGAAATGGCTTGGCCACGTTATGAGAATGACTTCTGATATACCTGCCAATACAGCTCTCACATGGACACCAGAGAAAACAGGGGCGCCCAAAAACAACATGGAGACGAACGATGGAAAGTGACCCGAGTGCGGCATCTTTGACATGGAAAACTACACTGAAGATTGCACAGGACAGGAAAGCATGGAAAGTCCTCTCTGAAGCCTCATGTGCCACTAGGCATAACGAGAACTGATGACGATTTGTATACAGACTGTTGGTTCCTCATGTCTCAGGCAAATGCACTCTGACTGAAGGAAACACCCCTAATTAGTCACCACTCCCACAACATGCTTGTCAATTAGGCTTTTCGCCCCCTTCCACTAAATGGGACCCTGGAACTCATACGGGGAGAAAACATGCATGCAGTGCACTTAAATACAAAGAAAACACATAGGGAGATCATTCTCAAAACAAAACAAACATGTGGTGCAATGTAAAAACAAATAAAACAAGTAGAGAATTTTGAAAACAAAAAGAAACAGCGTATCTGTTTCAGATTATACAGTGCAAGCAATGGAAGTACTGCAAAATTAAAACTATTTTTCTCTGTCTGTCTGTTGCTCATGCCAATTGTTTGCTGTTTCTGCCAACTGTCTGCTGTTTCTGCCAATTGTTGCTCATGCCAATTGGCTGTTGCTCATGCCAATTGGCTGTTGCTCATGCCAATTGGCTGTTGCTCATGCCAATTGGTTGTTGCTCATGCCAATTGGCTGTTGCTCATGCCAACTGTCTGTTCTCCTGCCAATTGGCTGTTGCTCCTGTCAACTGTCTGCTGCTCATGCCAAGTGTCAGTTGCTCATGCCAATTTGGTTTATAACAAATTATTTGCATTGTTCACAGTGGTCTGCAAAAGTGCTTCAATCTTCTCCCATGTATGACATAAAGAGAATCGCAGCACAGCACACAAATTCTCTAGCATGTCTAAAGATCCAGGTTAAAATCTTTTTTTTTTTTTTAGATCCTACTGTTTACGCGTCACAGAAAGGAGTTTTATGTAGTTTCTGGTCTTTTGCTATTTCTATAGCTTGTGTTAATGTTATTTCTATAGTGGGGAAAGGGGGTGGAGGGTGCCTTTCATCAAATTTAGGGGGTGCTGGGATCGTCCAGGTACAGCTGAGAAGCTTTGAATTTTAAAAAAAAGCTGCGACAAAGAAAGAGAGAGAATTTTGATAAGTTGTTTGTGCTTTTCGTAATGTAGTGCAGCAGGTTAAAATTGCAATGGTTGCTTAATTTTTTTTTTTCAAATCTAACCAATCAGATTCATTGTTCCCATTAAAGAATGTGTTATTGGCCAGGGCTATTCAACTGGCAGCCAACGGGCCAAATCTGGCTTGCAGAGGCCTAGCAAGGGGTCCATGGATCATTGCCAGTTGTTCTGTATTAATGATCTTTCTATGATGCAGCTTGGGCCTTTGGCCCCATGTGATCGTTTTCAAAGTGCTGGCCCTTGAGTACACTTAGTCAAATAGTCCTAAGCTGTTCTTTTTTTTTTTTAACGTATCCAGAAACCATGAGTTGTAAACCCTTTGGCTCGGTACTATGGATATCGCAACCCTTCGGCCTTGATTCCATTATAGGTACCGTTAATCTGGGAGAAATGTGGCTTTTCTGCCTACCCCCGGGAGTGAACCCGGACCACAAGGAGTTCGTCACCCGGCCGCCGCGAAAGTCAGGTTTAACCAACTTCGCTAGAGATTTAATTGATATTATCATTTTAAAAAAACAGATAGGGAATCCATGCATTAAAAGACTAATTCAACGGGGAGTGAGTAGAGGTTCTGAAAGATATTCAACATTGAAGGGGAAACAGAGGCTGACTTTAAATCAGGTTTCAACTAGTTCTATTAGCATGTCAACTCTTAGATGGCTACTAAAGAAGTGGACCAGTTCTATTAGCATGTCAACTCTTAGATGGCTACTAAAGAAGTGGACGGAGCACTTGTGGGAATGTCCTGAGTGCACTGATGAGGACTTGATTGATTCATTCATTCATTCTTATACTTCCGCACTGAGTGGAAGGATAGACTGAGTGGAAACATCTACAAGCAGTAGTTACATAAGATATATATTTTTGAATAACAGACTTTCTGTACCAACGATCTGACAGAATTTAAATAGGCAGCATCTTCAGCTATAGCCACTGTTCAGTTGTTCAAACACTAAAACAGATTTGGTGTGTCTTGGAGCAGCATAAAAGAGCCAAGACTCTTTGTGATGTACATAACCGACATTACTAAATACTGTCATTACAGTCAAGTTATGGAACAAGATAGAAGTCCACCAGAATTTACAGCCAGTTAACGCGAAGAACAAAAAAAAAAGATATGCTGTGCAATGTTCTTAGGGGTTAATACTCTGACCAGAACTATGCAAAGGCAGACTAAGCCAAATGGAATAAACATAGGTGCAATGAAGTAAGTCCTGTTACTTTTATCCACCCTTTAAACCAGCGGTTCTCAACCTTCCTGATTCCGTGACCCTTTAATACAGATCCTCATGTTGTGGTGACCTTTTATTACAGTTCTTCATATTGTGGCGACCCTTAACCATACAATTTTCTTCGTTGCTACTTCATAACTTCAATCAGCATGTGCTTTTCTATGGTGTTAAACAACCCTTGTGAAAGGGTCGTTTGACCCACAAAAGGGTTGCGACCCACATGTTGAGAACTGCTGCTTTAAACCATTAGTAAAAGCAAAATGGGGTCCCGGCCCTTTGGTTGAGCTGAGTTAAGAATCAACATGACAGCATTCGGGATTTCCCCATCTGCAGCAGCCATGAAGAGTTCCAACTTTGATGCTACTGGTAGCAGTCTGACTGTATGTCCATCTTGCTTTTCCTCTGTGGAGTGTCGGCCAGATCCCCTGGTTACCCCCCATTGCACCATTCACTTCAGACCGTGATGATTTCATTGTGCTTAGGTACTGTTCACTCGCTCCCAAATGACCTTGACAATATCTAGCTTGTAGTAAAGTAAAGTAACAGTAAAGATCCCTTTTCAAGCCTTTAGGCGTATCGGGCATATGGGAAGAGCGCCCATATTTTTACAGACAATCAGCACTCGGTGGGTAATGTGGTAAGCATTACGCCGGCTGTCTTTACTTTTCCAGGACAGCAAATCCTGGTACCCATTTTAGGCTGGGTCGACCTGCGACGCCCCATACCATGACAAAAATCCACGCAGCCAGCAGTGGGTTTCGATCGCGGTAAGCTGGGTTACGGGTCGGACTCGCAATGCCTAAGCCACAGACGCTGCATCTAGCTTGTAATGAATCAATTTACCAGACAGTCTGTCTACTTGTTCATTTTCCAACACACCTGGGAAAAATATCTGAAGGATGCTAACAATCCCAGTCCTCTGAAGCAATGCTTGCCACTCATTTCTTCGGAAGCAAGTGAACAAAAGGAAGCATGAACAGACTGGTGTGAGGAGTATTGTGCGGCAGGAAGTGACCAGAGGGTCTGGCCGACATTCTACACTCAGAAAAAAGGGGCAAGACGGACATATAATCAACCTACTTCTGGTAC